ATGCTTCTATATTGAATAAAGATATTTGACTTTGACTTTGACTTTGACTTTGATCATTATTCCCAAACGGAACAATAAAAATTCCATGGTGAGTTTCGCTCAAGAGCTCAAGGATTAATACGAATTAACATTTTTAAAATTTACCTGATGTAATGGATACAAGTACATTACCCATCTTCAGTGTGTTGGGCAGCCGGCTTATTGGAAAAAAAGTATGGTATCCGTAAATACTTGCTTTATTAAACGTTTTTGTTGTTCATATACTACTCAACCCAACGCGTAGCTTTACCATAATATAAGTAAAGTAAATAAATAATAATAAAAAAAACGACCAATCAATGCTTGGATTGGTAGACTTCACAAGATTAGTTGTGGAAACATAAAAGTAACAATTAGCGGTTACGTTCCAAGATTTGGACGAAAGTTACTCGAGTAGACAAAATTAAAAAATGAGTAGCGTGACATTAAGTTGTCTTTATATATTGTAACAAAATCGATGACAGAATGTAAAATACTGAAAGTTAATGGGAAACCCTTTCTTCTTATGCGTAAGCGTAATTCTCGGCACGGAGAGAGCGTAGTAAGTGTTTACATAATTCATGAGCATTCAGCCAAAGTTAACTTTACTCCTACTTACTTTTTATAGTATTATTTAATTTTTAGGAGCAAATAAGAAGTGTAATTGTATTGCAGCGCGTCGAAACCAATGCAGACTTAACTCTCTCATATATACAGTTGCAATGTATTTTAAAAATGCAACGGCCTCAACCGCTCATTTACATTTTATTTCGTGAAAACAAAAATTCTTGGCATTCCTGTGAGGGTCGTGAAACTGGCTATATTTATTTTCTTCGTCGTGCAAGTCGTAGTAAGGTTTTTTCGTTATATAATTATAACATACGTGACAGCAACGTCAGAATTTCTAATCATTGAGACATTTGATTTTTGACCTATTTTTGGTACTAGCCAAATTTCCGTAGACTTGTACCGCAACAGAAAGGAAGTAACTCTGAATCTATTATTATACTATTATACTATTAGTAATTTATTTTTAACATGTAAGTAGCATGTCTATAATTATACTTGTAATGTATTCTTATTCACATATACAATAAAAGAATAATAGACATAAAAAAAATATCTCAATTATCCAGTAACATTTCGTGTGATGGAAATGTAATTGTCCTAAAAACATTCTGTCTTGGAATGTATAGTTTGTTATCTGCCATATCTCTCGAAGTGACAAATAATGACCTAAATTAAAACTTATCTTCTAATTAATAGTTATGTCACAATACAAACTTTGTATTTTGAATAGCACCGTTCAATTTTATTTTAATAAAGAATTACTTTACCGATTTTTTGGTTACAAACGGAGGAAAAATGCTTAGCCAAGTTTGATTGCTCTCAGTTCCCTAGTGTAGCGTGATCTTCTCGGAGACTTAATGAAATGTAAGATGGAGGAACAAAATACATAAAAAAAAAGATATATGGACTCATGGAGACTACAAAACTTGAAACTATGGAATAACTTTTTTTTTAATTTTTATATTAATTTGCTTATTTAATTGAGGTATTAAATGATTTTTTTTCCGTTTCACATATATTGGCATTTAGTAAATGGGCTCTCTGAGAGTTGAAAAGAAACTGGAGGAGGGACATACACAGCAAATAACAATTATTTATTTCTAATCAAAATTATAGAAAATGAAACTAGAAACTAAACGCATTACATTTTGTTTTTAATTCTCGACGTTTCGTTCCTATCCAGAGTTCTGTCGGTTTGTCCGTCAATCACCACGCTGTATCTCATGAACCGTGACAGTTAGACAGTTGAAATTTTCACAGATTATGTATTTCTGATGCCACTGTAACAATACGTGTAAAATAAAAACTGTGGCACTCGGGGACTGCCCTCGGTAAAGTTATTGCATAGCATTTTTTATCAACTTATGCAATTATAATTATTTATTTATTTTTAATTTATGCAGTATTTTTTTTCCCTGACATTAATTCAAGCTTTTTATTTGATATTAATTCAAGTTACACTTTTTAGCGTGGTGACCGAAAAGAAAAATTTTTTTTTCTTTATTGGATAAATGAGAAGTTTATATCGTTTAAAATATTTTTATTATCTTATAATACCTGTAGATTATTCAGGAATTTTTATCGTTGAAACTATAGGTTTATGGCAACTGAAATAAGAAACATAAGTTTGAGACTTGATATCATCTAAATATCATATCATCATATAATAATATCATATTATAATATCCATCCGTGCGAGCTTCGTACAGTCGTCCCATATGGTAGGCGGAGTGGGGGGTGTAAGGTTTTATTTTCGTGCGTAAAAGCTGTGCAATAGCTTAAAAATTGAATAAAAAAATATTTAAATAGGGCTCCCATACAACAGACATAATTAATAAATTAAGTAAAGATGATAATGGTACGGACCCCTTCATGCACGAGTCCGACTTGCACTTGATCGGTTTTATTATTTGCCAAATCGAATATTCAGAGGCAGCATTTATAATTCAAATCGTCCACTGAGTTTGTAAAATAATTAATGTAAAATTTTACCCAAATTGAATTACGCCGCAACGGTGTCTTGTAAATGGAGTAATTTAAATAAAGATCCTCCATAAGCCCGTGCCGTTCTGTGAATTGAATTCAGGTACCTCAGTGTCCGGGAGCCCTCCGAAAGTTATATTTATTTTGTGGAAGTAATGCTGCAAATTTTTGAATGACCTCTTAGCAAATTAATATTCTACTTAGGTATCTTTCCTATCGCGATAGTTTAAAGTATTTTAAACATTCGATTATGCTAATATTGCACTAATATATATCATTGACATACCAATATATTTACTTTCCGCTTCAGTGTCTTGATTCCAGGATCTAATTAAAAAATATTTTTTTTGCATCTAATACAAATAAATAATCCGTTGTTTCCTTAACTTTTTTAAAATATATCTTAAAACGCTTGGTATAAGTATTATAAATTGAAATGTTTTCTTTTCAAAATATTCTGAAAATACGAAAATACACGTAATGTTCCAGTTTCAATCCAATGTTTGCATTCAAATCGTAATATTGACTACGTGGATACCGGACGTGACATTTTAACCAAATACCAAATCACCATGGCATCATAGTGTTGAATTATTCATTTACGATTCTGAAATATGACAATATCAATTTGATCGCAATATAAACTAGTGGAAATAACAACTACAGACAACACTGTTTACAAATCAGTGACGAGTGTCGATTTTGAAAGTCAGAAAGTAGACCATAACTTAAGGCGACTTCCAGAGTTAATCTAATGTCACTTATTTGTGATTGTGTTACAGAGCACGATGAAAAAACGTTTGCGAAATTGTTAGACACAAACGAAATAATTCTTATCTAAGACAGAGTTGGTGGCCAATATAAAAAAAATAACATCTTGTATTTTGTGAGAAAGGATTTCCACTCCTTGTTGTATATTTAATCTTTACGTTGTGCATTTATAGAAAACAGGTCTTGGATGTTACTGGGACCTCCAAGACCTGTTTACTATATTTAACTTTGAGTATAGCTAAATACAAATGTAATCTATTCCAAACATCAACGAAAGCTTGTCAGAACTGTAAAATAAAGCAGCAGTCTGCTCTTTGTGCTCCGTCAGATAACAAAGAAAACCTTTATTACTGTTTTAATGAAAGACGTCGTTTGTTTAGCGTTCAGCGATTGCAGGCGGTAACCGCAGTGTTCAGGTGTAAATTGCTGTTCGCTATAGCTTTGTTCCGAGCGGCGTCTCGTCACGGTATGCGCGAATTTATGTTTGTGTTTAATTTATTGTTTGATGGCGGAATGTACTTTTTCCTTGTGTAGTTGTGCTCATACTTGGATGGGCCGGCTAGTGTTTCAAGTACATAAAATAATCAGGTTAGGTAAACTAGGTTACTCTTTCACGCACATAATACTTAAAGGAATTTAAATGTTATTTTACAATAATATAGCTTATATATCAGAATAAGACATAGACTCTAGTTTACATGCATATTTTATTTATATCTGTCTTTCTGTCTGATGTTACGCCTTCAGCCTATTCTACGAAGACGTGGTCGCGGGCAGCAGTTAGTTATAAATAATACGATTACTTTAAAAAATAGTTACGAACTAAATAACGATCTTTAAAAACCAGATCCATTACAAAGAGAAAATTCAAACAATGTCGTCACGAATACATTGCGACATGTCTAAGAGTAAAGCTCGTTATCCCCATTCAGCTCTTGCTCATCCATTATTGAGCACCAGTAATGCTTCTAAATTGCCTTACATTTAACGCCTTCTCGAATGGGAACGAAACGTGAGGACGTTCCCAAATTGAGTGTGTAAAATAATTGGTTACCCATCTTTTGCAGTGCTCACCGGTTACTTAATTTATTTCGCCATTCCTTCCCTTATTATCTATCCTACATAAGATAATAAAAAAGACAGATACAGTGATTGTTCCACATAATTATAATGGCATCACAAAGTAAGTAAAAAATAAAGTAAGAGAATTTTTCTCAGGGTTCGGGCGCTCGTTTTAGTTAATTATGTTCGGGCAACCTGATTCCGATGCCGGCACAAATGTTATTGGTAATGTCAATGATGGTTTACTATTTTCTTTGATGTGTTGAAGAATAATAGTGTGACGAGACATTTTTAAAATTATTAAAAAAAATATGCTATGTGAAGTCTGCTAATCCATAGTTGGACCGTTAGTTAGTATGCCCTAAACTTGAGGAGGCTTTTGTTGAACGGTGGGATACATACAGGTAATTAATATTATGCTAATAACACTACCATTTCACCTACCTACAATTTTCATTATTCTTTAATGAAACTACACATAAACCACAAAAAAAGGACATGTACCGGCGATGCACCGCATTTTACGCGCAGGCTCAGGTTAGAAACGGTAGCGTATCCCGATATCCATCCCGGCCAAGACTGCCCCGCGTCGCAAGATGCGTAGGCGACACACGCCGCCTGAGACCGAGGCGTCGCTGCTAGAAGCGGCAGTGCATCGGCCCCTTAGCCACCTCATCGTTGACTCAAGACGAAGATCATCCGAAAACTGCAACCTACATAACGCTGCACTCTCGGCCGTCAAGACCACCGCCCTACGTCTCTCCGTGCAGCTCTCCAGACTACATAGCACTTTATAAGCAACCGTCGCGAAGACCACCACGCCGACGAAAGCCATCACCACCTGCGCATGTACCACAGCTTCAACAAAACACATCAAGACTAATGTAGAGCTATCGGAAGTAGATTTAAAAATTCCTAACCTTTCTTAATTAAAATGTTGGAATGGCAGCTAATTGTAAGTCACAACGAAGGAGCTAGCTCGGGTTAAATTATTTAATTAAGATGGTGAATTTGAATTTCGCGACCTCCTTGAAACTCTCGCTAACTGTCCCGAAGAACTTATTGAATTTATTATTGGAATCATACCCATGGGCATGTTAATGCAAATATATTCATTCCGATAACGGGCTCCGCATATATATATATTTTTTATGAGAAAAGTTGTCAAACGAGCAGACGGTTCACCTGATGTTAAGTGAACACCGCCGCCCATGGACATCTGCCACACCCGAGGGTTACAGTTGACAACCTCGTTGACAACCTTTTGAAAATTGGGCTCTGGCCACCTCACTCACCAGACGAAATGCGAAAGTATTTCATGCTTCCACTTTACCTTGGTCTTCCGTTAGGTCGTGGTCGTGGTCGTGGCCCGGTCTGGCCTGGCCATTCGTGCAACAGCCGAGGCTGCTGCATGGCCCTACCACCGTTATATTGAATTAATTAGTATCGAATTGCTCAACAACTCTGTCGCTGAGCACCGAAGTTTAATACTTTATGGTGTAGGATATCATTTTATCATATAAAAAAAGGGTGTAAAATACTTTCTGCCAATGGCACTAAAACATATTTATATTTTGACAAGCCGATTGGCTTAGTGGATAGTGCCTGTGTCTGTAGTGGTGGGTTGTGGGTTCGATCCCCACTATTGGAAAAATATTGTGTGATGAATATGCTATGAATAGAATATGCGCAATACAATTATGGAAATTGAACCAAACGTACGGACAAAAGTTTTACTTTTACTTTTAAACGATGACTCCGTGGCGTAGTTGCCAAGGTTGTAGTGTCGGGGGTCGCGTTTGATTGCCACACGGGACAACTATTTGTGTGGCACACAGATAGTTGTTTTGTATCTGGGTGTTTGTCCGTGTGAAATGTATGTTTGTAAAATGTTCTTACAACACAGGATAAGGCAATGATTTTTTAATGAAGATGATAAAGAAAAGATAAAATTAACAGTCATATACTATGGTAAATTTCTTATCTGTTTTACTGAGTAACTTTTTATTTTGTTCATCATAATATGAAAATTCAGTCTTACCTAATTATTATAGTTTCACGATTTGAAATTAAAACAGCATGAGTAATTTATATTTAAAATTAACGAAACTCCGACTAAGCAAGAATTATTATCCCCCAAAGAAACCACGTCTGCCGAATAATTAACAATTTCAGTGATGTTGCATGTTATATCTTAGTTAATTGTTCGTTGTCAGCCGATACCGCTGTAACGTAAGAATGAGCTGAAGCTAACCTCCATCTTGAATATTACTTGTAAACACTAACACATTTATTCTATTAACTTTCAATTGGCTTTCGATATCTTTGAATTAACTTTACAAATTCCACTAAATTCATTTGACACAACAAGATACGTAGTAAGAATGATACGGTTAATATGTTCACGTAATATAAATTGTACAAATCAACGTTTCAAAATGCTAGTTTAAAGTGATCCCTGTGCAATTTAACGGTAGAAACCTTTCTTAATTTCACCGAAAGAAGAAAAATTTCGGCCCTCGAAAGTATTATCTGTCCCAAAACGCCACAACGCGTCCTGAATGCTAACTAGCTATCCGCTCTCTGTCGTGCCTGAGTATTTATTATTCTCACAGCAGCGGCTAAATTAAACTATCACCCTCGCCTTGGGAAACAATTTTTAAATGTTAAGGTTTCATTTGTTACAGTTTCTCGCAAAATTTCCATCAGGCCGTCGCTAAAGAAAACCATGCGGACAGCGCATGCCGTAGTATAGGTATGTTATCACTTTAATATCAAAGCCTAGTGTCAAAGCTCCCAGCTCTTGATAAAGCAGGGATTTAGACGGATTGTGATTGTCCCAGAGTGTCGAAACAAAGTGCCCATTTCCCGTCTTTACTGATTTGTCATACATCAACTATCTAAGTATGTCGTAAACTCTGAAAAAGATAGGCGAAACATTAGGGTTATTTGATTTCTTGTAAATTTTTAATAGCTTTGACTAGATATATGTTGTTAATATACTGCTTGTGAGTTTTGAAATACTTGAATAAATCCATATTAATTTTCCAGAATACACAAATTTTATGTGTGACAATTGTTAGATATTTGAGAAACACAAGTAATAATTTTAACTGTGGTAGGGCCACGCAATGGTGTTCACTGTTGCACGGATGGGCAGGTCCGTCCGGGTTAGTACCACGACCTCACAGAAGACCGGCGTAAAGTAGAAGTGTTACACTTCTGCGTTTCGTCTGGTGAGTGAGGTAGCCGGGGACCAATTTATTTTAGGTGGCAACGCTTCTGCAACCCTACGGGTTTTGCAAATGTCCATGGGCGGCGGTTATCACTTAACATCAGGTGAACCGCCAGCTTTTTGTCACATAAAAAAAAAGTAATAAAATACGTAGCTGATTGCACACTAATTTATCTGTGCTGCTGTGATCAATTTTACTGCAATTTTTTGTTTAACTTAACTTCTAAAGCACACGATCACACAATTCATCAACAATTTATTTGTTTGGATAAAAAAAACTGAACTCCAATAGAATCGAATAAAAATATAAGCCGTTAAACACTGATTCGGGCAATTGATTGTGTCTTTACGCCTAATTAATTGCCGATTAATTAGAATGAAACTCCAGTATGGCACTGAAGGACTTCCGAGCTAAATAAATAAGTCGTTTAATCGATTGTATCTTTTATACGTAATTAAGTACCGAGGTATCGGAATGAAACTCCATTATTTTCGAGCTTACACTTATTGGCGAAGGTGGCTTGAAAGCCAATCTGGTTTAAATTATTTTAATGAGGACCAAAGGAGCTTAAGAGACAACGAAAAGGAAGCATTCCACAGTAAGAGAAATGTCGCCAAAGCATTGATATATCAGCAGCACTTTTATTTTTTTACAATTTTATCCCGCCTAGGCTATTCTCCACTACTGATGGTAGCGGGAAACGACATGTGTAAGAGTGGACATCACGATTAGGAAAGGAAACGTAGTGTGGGACGCCCTCCAACACGATGGGCTGACGAGTTAAGAAAGTTGGCGGGCAGCGGATGGATGCGGGATGCCCAGGACCGGGATAGTTGGCGCACTTCGGGGGAGGCTTACGTTCAGCAGTGGACGACGATAGGCTGATATTGTAGGGTATTCTCATAGGTGGTGTATTCACATAGATAGGATGCCTTACCTGAAGGATTTGCTCCCCGAGGAGGTGCCAGCGCTGGCAGGGTTGTGGAAATGTGCGAAAGCGTTCTCATGGCCTTATTAATACTTCTTTTTTTTTTAAACTTCAGGATAACATTATCGTGTCTTGTAAGGATGTTTTACAAACATAAATTTCAAGCGGACAAACGCCCAGATGCGAAACAACTATCTGTGGGTCACACAAATAGTTGTTTGGGAATCGAACCCACGACCCCGGATGCCGAAGCCGACTTTGGCAACTGCGTCATGGAGTTCCTGCCCACGCGAGAGAGGGAATGCGGTGAGGTGTTTCGCCCACGTTAAAAAAAATCGGCCAAGTGCGAGTCGGACTCGCGCATGAAGGGTTAAATACCATCTACAAAAACGGCAAAATGATCATGTATGTTGCATTGGAGCCCCGGAGTAACTTAAATATTTTTTATTCTATTAGGTAACAACTCTCTAACTATCACGGTTCATGAGATATTGCCTGGTGACAGTCAGCCAGACAGACAACCAGACAGACAGATGGACTGACCGGAGTCTTTGTTATAGAGAACCGTTTTATTCTTTGGGTACGAAACCCTAAAAACAGAAAAGAACCAGCCTTCTTGTATCAGCCGCGGTGATAAGCCTAAGACCTTTCAAAAATGTTAATATACGGGGAACCCACGGACCTAAAGTTCCAAAAGCAAATGGCACAAATTTTAAAACTGAAGCAGTTTGATCTTAAGAATTAACTAGTACTGAAGCTAAAGTTAGCGTATTCAAAAGATATTCACAAAATAAATGTTACGCGGTCCGCGATGGATGCCGTTTAAATTTAACCATCCGTTTTACTGGAGAGCGGGTTTTTGTTATTGCTGACCTAGATTTTTTAATGCTCGCAAGCCACTCCAATTTGGCTTATGCTGCTGCGATTATGGGCGCAGTGCTTACCTTGCAGCTTTGTGTCGGTAAAGAAAAGCAAATCTTCTATTCAATCCACGAAGCAAAGTTCTACGGGTGAAAATAAAAGTGGAGTTTTGCAATAATTATATAGTTAACGAAAAAATACGTATCTTTTTACGTTCTAAAAGGTTTTTTCATAATAGTTTTTATACCAGCCAGACTTCTTATTTTCCTTATATGGTTATTTCTCATGTCACATAACACCGATGAAGTCTTGTCAGGGGCTGGAGAGAATGTTACATATTTCGCAATATGTGCCTAATTCATTAAATATTTATACATACTTTTACACAGAGCTATCTTGTACCCAGGCGAAACAAAGATTGTACTATGGGTACAGGGTAACTGGTAAACATAATTTAACATAGTGTTCTGTTTTAAATAAATATATATTAGAGATATATAAACTCTAACAAAGTAGCAAAGCACCATATTTTTCCAAGAAAAGGAGTCAGATCGACTATCCACTATACTATGGATAAAAGCAAAATTACAGTAGTTTGTAATTTTGCTTTTATATATTATCTTTTATATAGTATTAAGATTTTCGCATTGAGAAGCCTCGGCAGCTCAGCTTAGTTGGTAAAACGTCTGGGCCCGAAACAAGAAGACGTAGATTCGAATCTTGCAGCGCCGAAAGTTTTCATTTGTCTACAAAAAATTTACAATTTAAA